AGTGCTCCCTCACCGAGGGCTGTCCTCCAGGACCAGCTCTTCCCGCAGTGCTCAACTACCAGAGACCAGGGCCAGCGGGCGGGAGCATGGAGGCCACACCCAGCACTGGCCGGTAAGCAGAAGTGGGGGACTGACCAAGGGGAGAATCCTCCCCTCCAGCCTAGATCTCTGACCCCCGGCCGTGTGGCTGCTCAGCCTCCCACCAGGGGCCCTCCCCCGCGGCGCCTCCAGAAGGCAGGACCTGGAGACGGAGGGCCCGTGTCCCCAGCAGGCCCCGCGGCATGGACTCTGGCTGTGCACACGGGCGCACTGATGACCACGGACACTCCGTGCAGCAGGCACTGCTACCATCCCCACTTAATGGAACAGCCCTCTGAGGCTCAGAGAGGTTCAGTAATTGGCCCAAGGTCACACAGCAAGTGAATGTGGAGCTGGCACTTGAACCCCAGTTGGGAAGGTCTTTGCTCTACAGCCCTGGCGGGGGGGGGGGGGGGGGGGGGGGCGGCGGTGTGACTGCAAACCTCACCTCAACACGCGCATGTCTGGATTCACGTGTTAGCTCTCTTTACTTCCGACTTCCTACATAACACGTGGTCACCGTGGCCAGCAGAGCCACAGCTCACAGGACACGACCGACGCTCGTCCTGTCCTCGTGCCACTGGCTCTGCTGGTGGCTGCGTTTCAGCGGGAGAACAGCCCCAGCATGCGGGAGGAGCTCAGGTAACACCCACTGAGTGATGCAGAGAGACTGTCACCTCTGAATGTCCCCGTCACCTCCGGGTGCCCGTAGACACCCCTGCTCCGTGGTCCGGCCCCACCCCCAGCCCCTGCAGGCCCTCCTGGGTGCATACACTGGCCGGAGCACTGGCCCCGCTGGACCGTCTGCTGAGGCCCGCTGACCCCTTCCCGGGGCGCTGACGAGTCGAAGAATTACGCGGAGGACCACGAAGGACGCCAGGCGAGGCGCAACGGTCCTCAGAAAACCACACAGCACACGCATGACGTGGTGCCTCGCCCGCTCTCCTAGGAGCGCGCTCTGCGTGAGCTGACGGCAGGTCTAGAACCAGCCGAGACGTCAAGGTAGTGGAGAGTGTGAGAGGGATTGCCGGCCACCCGCTGCAAACGAAAGGGGACAGAGTGCACCGGCGGCTTCCACGGCAACCACGCCCCAGATACCCCACCGCTGCCTCGTTCGTAGTAACAGGAGACGCTCAAGTCCACTTAGAGGTTAGCAAAAACAGAAACGCGATTTCTTCCTCGGCCGTGCTCGCCAATTGCCCGAATTCCTTCCCCGGGCCTCGCCATGCACCCCAGCTGAGGACCCCGGCCTCCCGCGCCCTGCCTTCACACCTGTCGGTCCGCCACAGTTCGCCCTCCTCCAGAGACGACTCCGCCACCCACCCCTGCGAGGCCATCCTGGCCCCAACGCAGAAGGGCGCCCCTCCCCCGTGCTCCCGGCCGCTGGTCCCACCCCGCCCAGAGCTTTGGTTCAAGGTGCTTCGCATGAGGCGCTACCGGCATTTCTGGAAGCCACCTCCTGGCTGTTCAAGAGTGCCCAGCACTTCACAGGGTCCCTGGCCCTGACCGAAAATGCCCCCAGCGCACAGCTCCTACTTGGGAACCACACCGGACCTGGGGATGGGGCTTTAGCTGTGTGTGTCTGACCTGTCCCCCAAACCCCCAAATGCGCAGTGATGGGGACGTGCCAGTCCCTGGGTCACTTGAGGGCAGGATGCCAAGATGCCCGGACTCTCCGTGATGTGGGCAGCCCGTGCCACGCCGGGGGAGGAGGTCAGGACGGCGGAGTGGAATTAAGAGCCTCATCCTTTTAAAATAACTCTGTCGGTCCACTGTGTCCCACACTCCATGACAACGAGATGTGAGTGATCGTGAGCCAACCCAGGCAGTGGGTGGCATCATCTCTGTCCCCAGGGCCTGGAGATGGTCACAGGTGGGTGGGATATACTCCCTTGGCCCCCAGAGCCAGGGACAGGCAGTCGGGGGCCCCGGAGCCTAAGGACACACTCGGTTGTCACCCGTGGCTCACCACGGGGGCCCACATGGTTCGATGTGGCACCAGGCACGTAGGATGCCGTTAGACACAGGGATGGGCCTGGATGGGACTCGCAGGCTCAGAAAGTGGGTCCTCAGTGTTGGGGATACTGTCTGAAGGTATGCACGGGCCACCAACCCCCAGATTCCAGTGCCGATGGGGAGGGAGCCCCAGAGAGGACAGGTGCACCTATCCAGGGCCTGGCTGTCCACCCTCCAGGTGTTGGTGGCACTGCCACTGTCCTAGGACCGACCAGCTGGGGTGCAGATGAGGCTTGGACAGTCAGTGTAGGCAGGCTCTGGCCCGCTGAGTCCAGGATGGTCCGAAGGCCCCAAGGGAGTTTCTCACTAGACCTTGATCTTCTGGGAGACAGAGACCGTGGCTTTTCACCTCTGTGTTCCAGAAACTGGCAGAGGGCGAGCACACAGTGGATGAAAGGTGGAGACCCTTGCCCCGGCCTGGCCAGCCCTTCCTCATCACAAGGGGCAGGGCAGTGGGGCTCGGACATCTGTTGCCGTCAGGAGCACCGGCTCTGACCTCAGGAGGCCCTCCCGGGGGCGGCTGGCCAGGCGCTCCTGCAGTCGAGTGTCACGAGGGCCTCAACTGGGCCTCACATGGGCCTGAGAGTTTCCTGGCCCCTTCCCGGGCCCCTCTCTCCTCGTGCCTGTGGGTGCTCCGGGGCCTCGAGCCCCAGCTCTCCGTCCTACCGCCGACCTCCCCCTTGCACTCTGGACCACATGCCCAGCACCTATGGGACAGGGACACACAACGTCCCCCTAGTGCCCCCTCCCAGGGTGGGCACTGTTACCCAGTACCCACACCGGACACCGAGGCAATGAGGCAATTTGGAGAAACCCCTCAAGGGACAGGCCTCTGAGCACGGGGGACCCCTTTCTGGGACCCGGCTTCCTCATCCACACGCTACGTGGCCGGACCCACCCTGCAGACACCCATGGAAGCAAGCACCTCCAAGCCAGAGACTGGAGGCAGCCAGCGCGAGGGGCTAAAGGAAGCAGGGCCTCGGTCCTCAGCAGGTGCTAGTGGGGGGCGGGGAGAGGCCCAGAGCGGGGTTCCCGCAGGCCCCCCCGCCGGCCAGCTCTCCTCCTCTCTTCTGGTCCTCGCGTCCACTGCGGGGCCCTGGGGCTCACGGCGCAGTCCCCCGTGCTGTGCTCTGCTGGCCCTCACCCAGCACCACCCGACAGGGCCAGTCCCCAGCTCGGACCGGCCAGTCTCCCCTGTGAGGCGCAGCAGGGGCGGTGGGCGGGGCCCTGGGCCTCCGGGGGCTGAGGTCAGGACAGATGGCAAGGGAGCCGGATTGATGGAGCCCCTCGGGGCTGCCCTGTCACCCAGCCAAGCCTCCAGGACCCAGGGAGCACTTAGCACGAGTGAGCAGCAAGCTTCCTCAGCTGGGCCACCGTACCAGGGGACAGCCGCCCCACGGTGCCACCTTCTGCCTCCCCGTCTCCGAACCATGTGCCCCCTCCTGGCCTCTGGGCCCCCCTCCCTCCCCCAGGCATATTCCAGCACCTGCCCCGAATGCTGGGCCCCCTCCCCTCAGGTGGGGACCTTGAGCCCGTCGAAAGAACACTGGTGTCACTGAGTACCATCCCAGCCAGGTGCCCCCAACCCCACGGAGGTCTTAAGGCCGCCTCACGGCCCGCCCCGCTTCTGGGACGTGACACAAGCCGGATGTGTCGGCGGGTCAGCGGTCAGCAGGCCCCGAACGCTGAAAGGAGTGGCCCCTGACCCTCCCGCCTGGACAGAGATGGAGAAGTTGAGGCTCACAGGGGGCTGGAGACTACTCAAGGACCCGGCGGGGTCAGGGCCTAGACCTCTGAGCCCACCCACACCAGGGCCGTGCCCGGAGAAGCTTGTGGGTGGGAAGGGGCCTGACCCCTCCACACTGTCACCAGGGCCTCGGTATGCATCTGTGCCGGGCTCCCGAGCCTGTGGCGGACACGTGGAGGCACAAGCCTGTCCCGAGGAGCCACGGTCGCGAAACAGCCGGGGCTCGGGACCACCGCGGCCAGACAGAAAGTGTCTCAGGGAGCAGATGGGCTGGGCCACCTGATTCATCCGCTGCAGTCCTGGCCCCAGGAGGTCAGAGGTGCCCTTATTTGAGTAGGGGGTCTGTGAAGGTGAGGTCACACGGGAGTTGGGTGGCCCCTAATCTGATAGGTGTCCTTACTTTTTGAAGGTGAAACCTGGAGGCAGATGAGCCCATGTGGACAACCCACATGAAGCCAGAGACATTGAGGCCCAAAAGGCCAAGGACCCCCAGCGGCTGCCGGAAGCCGGCAGGGCCTGGAACGGGTCCTGCCCCCCAGATCCCAAGGGAGCCAGCCCCGCACACCTTGATCCCGAACTTTCGGCCTTAGAACTGCCAGACGGTAACCTTCTGTTGCATAAGCTGCCCAGCGTGTGCGTCTGACACGCCCCCGGCACCCGGCCCAGGCCTGGCACACGGGAGATGCTTGGAGTATTTACTGCCGAGGCCCGCCCAGACTTGGGGAGAACCCTGGGAAGCAGGGCAAGCCCCGGAGCGTGGGTGCTTGGGGGACGCCTGGCCAGGCCGGTGCCAGCCGTGTGCCAGGGGCGGGCACGGGGAGGACCCACCTGGCAGGAGGGGGTGTGTGTACCAGAAGACGACCCAGCTAGGAGCTGGCGGGAGAGGATGCTGAGGCCACAGGCAGAGGAGGGCACGGGACGAGGCTGGCCTGCCCGCACCCCCCCCGCCCCAGCGGCTCCTAAACCCACCCAGGATTCTAGGGCTCCTGCTGGGAGAACAGGTGTGCACTCCCCCTGCACTCCCCCCACCCAGAGCCTCCCCGGCATCCACAGCCCATCTGAAGTCAGTGTCTGAAGTCAGTCGAGGAGGCTTGGCCTGGGTCCTGCCCCCCAGCAGGGAGGCCACGCCTGCCCTCACCTCACACCTGGCCGCCATGTGCCCCCACCTGGGAAGGTGGGGAGAGGCCTGGGGCGGGAGGAAGCATCCCCATCCGTGCCACCCCCGCCCCCAGGAGACTTCCAGCAGCGAGGGGCACCTGCCCGGGCCTGTTCCTAGACAAACACCAGCAAGAAAGACTGCCAGCCGCCCTAGCAGCGAGGAGCCGGGCTCCGGGGTGGGTGGCCTCCGGCTGAAGCCCTCACGCTCTGGAGTCTTCTCGTCTTCTCCCCAGTGTGGGCAGTGACCTGGGCCCACAGGGCTCTGCTAATGGTCAGATGTGATCGGGGATGGCCCCCAGCAGAGACACTGGATAGGCAGGGGCTGCACTGGACAGCAGGGCCCAGTGTCCTCCAGGCGCCTGACAGGGGCCCTGAGCCTTGGTCTGAAATCACCCTGAACTAAGCAGGTCTTGGAAGGAAGAGTCTGCCTTACAAGGGAGGTGCTCCTGCTGCCTGGGCACGTCCAGGCCTGGGCACGGCAGAGGCCGGTCCCACGCCCGACCCGACTCCCAACGGCCTCGGGGCAGGCCCTCTCCTGTCCAGGGCCAGCCAGGCTGACACCCGTGCCTGTGGGTGTGGATGGCCTGGCACGATCATGGGCACCCCCACACAACCGGGCTCTCCTCCCGGTTCTGAACCCAGCCTGCTGCCTGGCCGACGTGTCCCCAGTCCCTCTCCCAAGAGGCTGGGCCACCGTCTGTCAACCTCAGACTTACACTGTTCCTTAATTAGTGCCTGCACGGAGCCGGGCCGACCTGCCTCGTCCCCTAGGCTCTCACCCCTGGAGAAGCACTTGTCCGTGAGTCCTGGGGGACTTGGCCCAGCACGGTGCTGGGGACACGCCGGGGGTTTCTTGCAATGGCCAGGAACACACAGCCAGGCCATCCTGCATGTACCTGGGGCTCATCTGATTCACGCCCCTGGTGCCTGGGAACAGCCCTCCTCGGGCAGGAGCAACAGCCCTCAAGGCCTGCGGAAGAGCTGGCCGCCACCAGACAGGTATGGGGGGGGGGGGGAACGGGCGGGCGGACAGAGGGCAAGGCCCAGCTATGAGGAAGGCCAGTGTATACACGGCCCTGTCCTGACGGAGGGAGGGAGGCCAGGTCATAGGCTCGGGAAGAGTTCCAGTTAAGAGATGTTCTAAGCCAGCCTAGAAAGGAAGCCAGGCCCAGGAGAGCCCACAGGAGAAGGCGGTGGGGGGGACCACCAGGGCCTGGGCCTCGGGCTCCTATCTCAGGCCTCCAGGCCAGGATGGCTCCAAGCCTTCCAGAAAACTCGGAGCCCAGGACTGGGCAGCAGCAAATGCCATAGGCTTTGGAGTCCACAGCTTGAGCTGCACGTGGGCTACGCGTGCTGGGCAAAGTTACGTGGCTCCCCTGGGCCTCGGTTTACTCATCTGTGAAGCAGGTCTACAAAAACCCTTCCTCACCCGAGGCATCAAACAGACAGTAACGCGAAAAGATGTGCACCGAGTCGGGGTCACGTTAAGGGGTCTCAAGACGCTACTGCCCGAGGGGTCTGCGTGGGCCTGCAAAGACCCCAGGGCAGGGGCAGGGGGAGAATGTGGGCCGGGGCCAGCCACACAGTGCACGGTGCCAGCACATCCCTTCCTGGGCACCTTCAGGGGCGGTCGTGACCATTCCCAGTGTTGTGCGTGAAAACCAGGGGCCGCGTGGCGCGGGAGGCTTGCGCAGCAGGACTGACATTTGAAGTAAGGCCCAGGGAGGATGTTGCTCCTCTCGCAGGAACACCGCAGCGTGTCCAGCAGGGGGCTCAGGCCGTTGCATCATGCAGCTGGCCCCGTCGAGTCCTGGCTCCCTCGGGCCTTCCCATCACACGCCTCCCCCCGTCATCTCAGGCTGGGGATGATGAAACCATAGGTCCTCAAACGGCAGAGGGACGGAGCCGTAGCACAACCAGGGGCTGAGGACCACCTGGGGACCCGGGCCAGGCACACAGGGTGTTTTGGCCTTCTGAACAGGGCAGGGTACACAGAACCCCGTGGTCTGGGGCCAGGCCGTGTGCCATGTGGCCTGTGAGAGCCCTATAGGCCACAGGTGATG